CATACATACATACATACATACATGCATGCATGCATACATACATACAAAGTTGAGTTGAAGTGCCTGATCAGCCTCGGGGCTAAACCTTCAGACGAGGCTGATGCCATTTCCCCCCAAATAATCATTTTGGGCGTTTTGCTTAATTTTTGTGGGGGTTGTTGTTTTTTTTGGTTGGAACGAAGCGATGCTTTTGGGATCGCGAACCGAAGCGGAACCTTTTACGGCCGGGGCGCGGTTTCCCGGCGGGACGCCTTAGAGCACCGGAGCGGCGGCCGGTGGGGGGCGCCTTTCGCCGAAGCACCGCAGCCGTTACGGGGCGGGCGGACCCCGCGCGGGCTGCGGAGCCTCGGCATCATGTTCGCCGGCTTGCAAGAGCTCGGGGTGGCCAACGGGGAGGACTTGAAGGAGACGCTGACCAATTGCATGGAGCCCCTGAAGGCCATCGAGCAGTTCCAGGTGGGGGGAAGGGAGGGAAGTGGGGGGGCTCTCTTCCGCGTTCCCGTTGCCATGGGGACCAGAGCCGGGGGTTTAGCATGCAACTTGCCCTCTTGAGTCTTCTCCCACCTTCCCACGGCTTGCAAACCCTGAGGAGGGGGGTGTTGCTCCTTGCACGGTCCTTCCACCCGGGTGCAAAAAGCACGCAAGTCCCCGCGAGGAGGAGAAGATGCCTTGCCCACCCCACTCCTTCCTTCCTTCCTTCCTTCCTTTCTCTCACCCTCCTATCTTTCGTTTTCCATCTGTCTCTCCTTCCATTTCTTCCTTCTTTCCTTCCTTCCTTCCTTTCTCCATATCTGTCTCTTTCCATCTCCCTCCCTCTCTCCCTTCTTGTCTGTCTCTCCCTCTCTCTCTAATCTATATCTAACCTATATCTTATCTATCTATCTCTATCTATTTATCTATCTAATCATTTCTGATCTATCACTATATCTTTCTCTTTATGTATATCTATCTATCTATCTGTCTCTCTATCTAAGCTATCACTATCTCTATCTTTCTATCTCTTTATGTATCTCTATCTCTATCTCTATATCTATCATCCATCCACCCATCTTTATCTATCATCTATCCACCTTTATCCTTCCTTCCTTCTTTCCTTTCTTTCTTCCTTCCTTTCTTTCTTTTCACTGAATTTCTCCTTATAATCTCTCTGGGTCTGTTGCAAGCCACACATTTGGCTGTGCATGCGTGCATGCATTCACACACACTGCATTGGGTGCAAGGGAACTAACAGGTTAGCCAAGATTGAGGGTTTCCCAGCCTGAAAATCTAGGGTGGGTTTGAGTCTGTTTTTGGCCTCCAGATGTTTGAACTGTCTTCCTCTTCTCTCTCCCTCCCCCTGCCCTGCCCCCAATTATTAATAAATAAATCGAGGTAGTCCTTAACTTACAACAGTTCATTTAGTGATCAAAGTTACAACAGCGCCAAAGAATGTGACTTAGGATGGTTTTTCCAGCGTTATGACCATTGCAGTGGATGAGAAATGTGCCAATTACCAGCTCTAATAATCTGTTTGAATCCCACATGTGTCATGTTGACAGACAGAAAATGGGATCCTGTTGCCCTCTCTTCAATCCGCCCTCCCTTTCCTGGACCTCCATGGCACCCCCAGGCTGGAGTTCCACCAGTCGGTGTTTGATGAGCTGCGTGAGAAGCTCCTGGAGAGGGTCTCGGCTATCGCCTCTGAAGGAAAGGCCGAAGAAAGGTAGGTTGGCTGGACCACTGTAGAAGGGCATCTACACATCAGGCTAAAAAAATTGACCTCTGGTTTCTCCTTTCTTTTCCCAGGTACAAAAAGCTGGAAGATCTCCTGGAGAAGAGCTTCCCTCTGGTAAAAATGCCGTCCATCCAGCCGGTGGTGATGTGCGTCATGAAACATCTGCCCAAGGTAGAAACGTAAGAAAATCAGTGTTGAAATTGGATGCCACCTGGGTATAGTAAAAGAGTGATCCGTGGTTTGCTTAGGTGGAATTCAGGATCATTCTTAGGAAGTCCTGTGACTGCCTGCCTGCCTGCCTGCCTGCCTTCCTTCCTCCGCTCGTTCCTTCCCTCCTTTTGCTCCCTCCCTCCTCTTTTTCTCTTCCCCTCCTCCTCTCCTTCCTTCCTTCTTTCCTTCCTTTCCTTGTCCTTCTTTCTTCTTCCTTCCTTCCCTCACTCCCTGCTTCCTTCCCTCTCTCTCCTCCCTCCCTCCTCTTTTTCTCCTCCCCTCCTCCTCTCCTTCCTTCCTTCTTTCCTTCCTTTCCTTGT